ATCTTGATAAAATCAAACGGGAAAATGGAAACAACGGAGCACCTTAGCTTTCGTCTTTATTCAAGACATCTTCAGAGGCAACTGGACTACATGGACAGAGAGAGGCTTAAATATACAGGGTGACCTTAAAAACATGAGGTCAGGTCATAATGATGTCATCCACTAATCCCCACACCAACACACACGTAGAGGAGCTTAAGAGAAGGGGGTGACGTGACTAGTCAGGTCAAAAATAAGGGACCCACAAAGTAACTATCATACATCTAGATCAAAGGTTTTCAAAGCATTTTTAACCTTGGGCCACTGACAAATAAATTTATGTAACATATTATCAGTTTTGAACTGACCATCACTAAGGTTTATTGATTTTAATTCCTTAATCAAACTAGCTTCAACCAGAAGTCTTTCTGTGACACAAGATGATTTAAATACTTCTAAGCTTTTTTCCCAAGCAATGGGGTGATTATTATTCCTAACATGAACGAACAAGGCACTGCTTTCAGATGCTGTTCTGATATTATACTTATGTTGTTTGATTCTGAGCTGCAGTGTTTTTCCTGTTTGTCCCACATAATTACAATTACATTTGCTACATGGAATACAATAAACACTTCCATTTACATTCAAACTTGGGCTATTCCTTATTAACATATTGGTAATGGTAGAGTCATACTTGAAAAGAACATTAATATTTAGAAGCTTGAGGGACCGAACTAATGGGACAAATTCATTACAATAGGGCAGAGTCAAAATATTCTTAAGTGTAGGAACTTGTCTGGTTTGAGAGGAATGAAAGGATTTTTTAGCCCTTTTAAAACAACGATCAACAAACACAGAAGGGTACCCGAGTTTCTGTGCAATGGAACGAATGTGTTTCAATTCATCGTCAATAAATTCAGAGTCACAAATACGCAGACATCTTAAGAACATAGCAGAAAAAACTGACATTTTGGTAGACTCAAGGTGATTCGATAAAAAGTGAATGAAACTGTCAACCTGTGTGGGCTTTCTATATACCTTAAATTTATAGTTTTGGCCATTTCTCATGATAAGCATATCAAGGAATGGAAGGGATCCATTTATTTCTCTTTCAATTTTGAATGTGATACTTGGGACAATATCATTAAGCTTGTCTAAAAATTCCAATGGGTCACTGTTTCTAGGCCAAAGACAAAGAACATTATCTACATATCTATACCATGGAGGAAAAAAGTCCACTATATTGGGTAGTAATCTAGCCTCAAAAAACTCCATATAAATACAGGCTAGAGGAGCAGAAAGACAATTACCCATGCTCATGCCAAATATTTGCTTATAGAACTTCCCATTTGCTCTAAACACATTGTCAGTTACGCATAACTCTATCAATTTCAGGAAAGTATTATGTTCAATAGTTAAATCTAACAGTTGTAATTTATCTTTGAGAAATGAAAGTAAGTCTTTCACAGGTACTCTAGTGAACAGTGAATTTACATCAAAACTTATTAATTCGCAAGGTTCATTGTGTTTCCTGAGTTTATCAATTAAATCACTGCTATTGTGTATATGTGAATTAGATATTTGGCCTGTAAGAGGGGATAGCATCTTTACCAGCCACTTGGATAATTTGTAAGTAACAGAACCCACAGAACTCACGATAGGACGTAATGGATTGTTAGGCTTGTGTGTTTTGATCAATCCATACATGTAAGGTAAAGTGGGATTGGTTTGAGAGAGCTGTTTGATGAGATCGGGGTTCTTTTTCAATAACATCTTCATTTTGGAATTAGATAACTTATTAATATTTTCCAGGGGATCTTTCGTAAGCTCACAATACGTGCTTTCATCACTAAGTAATGAATTCATCTTATCACTGTAGTCACTTTTATCCAAAATAACAATAGCATTAGACTTATCAGCCTTGGTAATATGGATATTCTTATTTCTTTTCAAGTTTATCAAGGCTGTTTCAAATCTTTTTGGAATGTTTGAAACAAATTTCTTATATAAAACATTATGTATACAACCTTTAGCTATGGAAATATCTTCATTTGTAACATCTGACGACTTATTCTTTTCCAGGTTGATTAAACCTTTAGCAATAGTAAGCGGATTAATACACCGTTGAGTGATAGAAAACTTCTTTCCAAAACCAAGAACAAGTTTCTCATTTGTCTGTAGATCATAAGATGATAAGTTTATGAACAAATTTGGATCACTCAATGTGGTCCAGTAACTCTCGTCAAACAGAGCATTAAATTTGGCATTTAACCTTCTTTTTTGGGCTTTGTCAGTTTCACTAAGAAGTTGATATACAAAATCACGAATGGTGTGCCACTTATCAACACAAACACTGTTTTGCATAAGTATTTTACACTGAGCACTGTGTTTGAAGGCTAATTTCACACTATCACTTGAACTCTTGATAAGGGAATCTAGCAACACCTTATCCAACTCAGAGAATGCTTGATTGTCCAGATTTCTTAGTCTACTTGGAAGACAGGACTTGGGAACAATTTTATCATCTCTGCAATCTTTCAAAAACTTCAACATGTTTTTGAGACTATGAGCCTTCAGCAAACTCTTCTTGTAGTTACGGTAGATGGGGCGAAGATGAGGATGTTGTTGACAGATTAAGGACACAGCGTAAGAGAGATGTATAAGTTCCATATTTCATGTAAATCCACAATGAAAACGTGGATAAGATAAATCTTGATAAAGTCACACGGGAAAATGGGAACAACAGAGCACCTTAGCTTTCGTCTTTATTCAAGACATCTTCAGAGGCAACTGGACTATATGGACAGAGAGTGGCTTAAATATACAGGGTGACCTTAAAAACATGGTCAGGTCATAATGATGTCATCCACTAATCCCCACACCAACACACACGTAGAGGAGCTTAAGAGAAGGGGGGTGACGTGACTAGTCAGGTCAGGTCAAAAAAAAGGGACCCACAAAATAACTATCATACATCTAGATCAAGGGTTTTTAAAGCATTTTTAACCTTGGGCCACTGACAAATAAATTTATGTAACATATTATCAGTTTTGAACTGACCATCACTAAGGTTTATTGATTTTAATTCCTTAATCAAACTAGCTTCAACCAGAAGTTTTTCTGTGACACAAGATGATTTAAATACTTCTAAGCTTTTTTCCCAAGCAATGGGGTGATTATTATTCCTAACATGAACGAACAAGGCACTGCTTTCAGATGCTGTTCTGATATTATACTTATGTTGTTTGATTCTGAGCTGCAGTGTTTTTCCTGTTTGTCCTACATAATTACAATTACATTTGCTACATAGAATACAATAAACACTTCCATTTACATTCAAACTTGGGCTATTCCTTATTAACATATTGGTAATGGTTGAGTCATACATGAGAACAACGTTAATATTTAGAAGCTTGAGGGACCGAACTACCGGGGCAAATTTATTATGATAGGGCAGAGTCAAAATACAGGTCACCCTGTATATTTAAGCCTCTCTCTGTCCATGTAATCCAGTTGCCTCTGAAGATGTCTTGAATAAAGACGAAAGCTAAGGTGCTCCGTTGTTTCCATTTTCCCGTGTGATTTTATCAAGATATTTAATAATATGTAATATACAGTGTATATTGTCATGTAAATTATACAATAAGAAAATGTTTGACTAAATTTACACTAAAACTATAACTCTGGTCGAATTGTAAAATATTCAATACATTTCCTCTCATTTTAATTTTATTCTGTCATTCTGGCTATTCTCAGCAGTCTGGTAACTGTTGCTTGACTTCATCAACTGGTTCTGACTGAAGCATCAACTGTTAATGTTGAAAATAAGTAAAACACGTTTTATTTTACTCTAATTGATATACAAAAAGAAGTGTGATGGTTCAAGAGTTACGGTACACACAACCATATCATATCCTTAAAAATGTAAATAATACTCGATGTATGAAGAATGCATTTATATATTTTACACAGGTATCGGAATAACTTTACAAGTTGCTATTGATCTGGATACATTTTCATGTTATAACATTTAACAGACATAATAACTGTTTACGTTTTTCGTCTTTTCAGTACAAACACACATAAATACATACATACTATTTCTGTCATTAGAATCACATGATCGACTTTTAACGAATAACACCACCTAGATCTTGATTTTTAATTAGCACGCATAGTGATACGTATATGCTTCAACACAAGTCTGGTAAAATAGCCACCTTCGTGAGCTAATGTTTTTCCACGTCTGTGAAAAAGTAATAAAACGTGTCTTGTGATAGATAATCTTTGCAGTAATAATGGGATGGTGCATCGAGGAATGAATTTGGAGGCCCAGAAAGGAAACGGCTGATTAATAAATTTTTGAGGCTCCCCATTGTTTGTTCTTTTTATAGATTCTGAAACTAACCTGCTTATTTGCATATTCCCTTTTCAAAGTATTTTAATCTAATAAATGTTCTTGTTCTAGTATACTGTACAGTTTCAAAAACTTTTCATCACAGTTTGGATATTTAGACTTTAGTACTAATTAAAAAAAAAGAGCCGAATTACTCCTGGGTTTACATCTAAAGTATTTCCATAAAATAAACAAAAAACAAGTTCAAAATGTTTGATCAATTCCAATAATTCAGGGAAAGGATAAAGTAAATGGCCTTTGCTAATATTTGAAATCCAAGAATTCTTTGAAGGTTCTCCACGAAAGTGAGGGTGAGTTTCTTTGAGCTTAAATGCTATGTAACCTGCTACATATTTTAATGCTTCCTGTTAGGCATCTATGCTCTCCTTACTAGGACAACTCTGATTGTCTATTGTCTTAGACATTATCAGTTGTACTTCATGATACTCAGTGTCGTCAACTTCACATTCAGAAAGCTGAAATCCTATATTGCGTGCTGTACAATATGGCGTGTTATCATCGGTTTCATCTTGTACCTCGACTAATGTAGACTGGAAAAGAGAAGCAGGTACATCTAAGCCTAACAATAAAATCCTAATCCTTGCCTCAAAATCACTGCAATCTGCATATTCACCTGCCCCAATGACCCGAACACAAGAGAAAAAATTCTCAAGGGCATCCTGATTTAATGTAGATGTTAAAACATAATTTACTTTGTATTTATCTTGAAGGAAGTTAAAGATCTTAGGTAGTGCATTTCCTGGAATAACCATTGCTTTTTGACAGGGACTTAATGGACATTTCATCAAACGAAAGTACTGTCAATCTTTCTGAACTGTTTTTAGTAAACCATTTGCATTTAATAAATCCAGGCTTTTAGTTAAGATTCCTGGGGGAGTTTGAAAGTTCATTATTCATCGGCTAAGACATTCTGCAGAGGGTAATGGATATTTTAATACATTAGTAACGAAACCATAAGCTTTGGAAGAGATGGACTTTGTGCCAAAGCTTTAGCCACACTGTCTTGGTCCCAAGGACTTCTAGATGCAGGATTCGATAATCTTCTTAACTGTGCATTGGAGAATATGGCTGCCGCAGGCTTCCAAGTATTTTGCTTCCTTATTGTAGATTTAGCTGCCCGAAGTTGGCTTTGGAAATGTTTGACACTCGCCTTATTATTCATATATTTTGTTCTCCAGTAGTTTACCGACCTGAATAACAGAAAGAAAGGTACAAATCATGAGTGTTGCTAAATTCCGTCAGTCAACAGTTAAAAGATTTTTGTATGTCTAATAGCGAGTGTGTATCCGCCCTTTGTGAGCCAGGGTGGACAGATGTATGATGAGTCTAGATGTGGATAGCTAGATGACATGAGAGAGTCTGGATGGATGTGGATAGATAAATGATATGCCAGTCTGGATGTCGATAAACAGATGGTAAGGGAGTTAATAAGGGTGGATAATTATACATGAAATAATACATAAGGTTAAGGGTTAAATATATATATTACAAAATAAATTCAAACTATGAAAGATGCTCTACCATCTGTTACTTAACTTAAATCATTATGCAGACTTCATGTGGGTGGGAAACAGACTTATTTCTTAATACATGAAAATAACTTACAATTTGTGCGAAGGCTTTTTGCATTTTTTCTGGAAGAAGGTCCCAGTTCTTGATCATGTCCATCATTTTGAATCTGTCCACCATTAGTGTCTCCATCATTCAGAATATGTCCACCACCTTGACTGAGTCCACCATCTTGACTGAGTCCACCACCTTGACTGAGTCCACCATCTTGACTGAGCCCACCAATTTCCGCTTGATTTGGGCGTGAAGCGTCTTTTCTATTCAGGAACACTTGAATCGGTAGCAGTTTTCTGAAGCAAAATATATTGTAGATAATTTTTTTCCCATGAAATATACAATTGTTGTAGGTTATTACTATACCGGTACTGTATTGTGAGTAATGAAATTTCCTACCCAGGTACAAGTAGAAACCTATTATAAGAGTAGAAGCCTAGTACAAGTTATGATTCCAGCTGCATCATGACCATCATTGATAACTAATTGTTATATAGTTAAGGAAACTAATTTATGACATGTATGTATATTATGTATGCTGTATTATATATTATGTATGTGCTCCATTTATGTACTATTTATTCAGCCTAGCTAGCAGTGTGTGGCAATGTATTTAAGATGTCCCACATGCTTAATTAATGTGCCTGGCGACGTATGGAAGCTGCTAATGTATCACTTGCCATACGTCGTCTATAGAGCAGTTAACAAGCAGCCAGGTCGGAGGGCACTACTTCCCTTGTGTACATATCTCTTATCCAGTAAATCGAACCTACAAAACTATACAGGTGTTTGTGTTCGCTCCTGTATATTGAACTTATTACCCAGAACATAACATGACACATGAAATTTCCTTACAGCACTGAATGACTAATATACATTATCCATTTATTTGGAAAAATATGCTTCTATTCTGTCCATGTTATTGTAAGCAGACTAAGGCCCGTACTATAAAATCATCGCCAGGTCTGGCGTTCATTCTCTGCGTAAGAAATGTGCTAGGCTACGTCTTCCAGTTATATTTGTGCATTATTAAAAAACATTGCCAAAGTATGACATGCGTGACGGTGTAGCCTACCGATGATGATGATGATGGAGATAAAATGGCAATGGTTTGCCATGGGAATGGAGAGAAGAGGTAAGGTAGAAGGAAAGTTATGAAACGGGAAGTAAAGTAATAGAGAATAAGAGCAGGTGGGCTATCCACCTAGCAGAGACGATTTGATTGGCTGCGGTGAAGGCCGCACTAAGAGGTCGCCCGAGCTCAAGGGAACAGGGGAGCTAGCTAGCAAGGGGTTGTTTGTTATTGTGTTAGTTGGAGAGGTCTGCTAGGTCCTTGTGTGACTAGTAGACTACTCTCATCCTCTATCTTTAATATTATTGTAGAAAATAAGGTCTGACTGGCGACAAGAAATGTACCTACATCAATACCCGTATATTAAAGTAAACTTTTAACCAAATACTGAAATAAAGAAAACAAATAGCAAACTCTTGGCTTTTTAAGGTATACAATTTAGCATGAGACAGCACATCCTTATGAAAGAACCAATGCAACAACTTGCTCTTTGGAGAATAATGTGTGCTAAATAGCAGTGATTACAGTAGGCTGTTGGTGAATTTGCACCATTAATTCTGTTTCAACCAACTTGAATCATACATTAAAAAATACAAATTAATCAATAAAACAGGTTGAACTGGAAATTAACTACTATACGTATTACAAAAAAAAGGAACCTTTAAAAAATAAAAATAAGTACATGAGTCTGCTTTCAAAGCTATACATTTGATTGTGGTATGAACTTTTACCCAAAACCTGGGTAAACATTACCCTTAGTAGCACTGCAACACATAAGCAAGTTTGCGGATGACACCAAAATAGGGCGGCAAATTAATTCAGGGCAGGATGCAAATGCATTACAGGAGGATCTAAATAAACTGCAGGGGTGGTCTGAAAAATGGCAAATGAAATTCAACACCAGCAAGTGCAGCGTACTTAATATTGGCAGAACAAATACTTATAATGTCTACAGCCTTAACAACATCAACCTAGAGAAGTGGACTTGTGAAAGAGACCTAGGGGTACTTGTAAGCCCGGACCTACGGCCTAGAAAACAGTGCGTTAATGTTCGAAATAAGGCAAACAGAGTATTGGGTTTTATATCTAGAAGTGTAAGTAACAAGAGTGCAGAGGTCTTATTGCAACTATATCTTGCACTAGTCAGGTCGCATCTCGATTATGCGGTTCAGTTCTGGTGCCCTTATTATAGAATGGATATAAATGCACTAGAGTCGGTGCAGCGAAGAATGACAAAAATGATTCCGGGACTTAGAAACCTTCCATATCAGGATAGGTTAAAGAAACTTAACTTGCATTCCCTAGAAAGACGAAGAGTGCGGGGAGATATGATAGAAGTATTTAAGTGGGTGAAAGGAATCAATAAAGGGGATATAGATAAAGTTCTTATAATATCCGAGCAGGATAGGACTCGGAGCAACGGATTCAAGTTGGATAAGTTTAGGTTTAGGAGGGAGATAGGAAGAAACTGGTTCACAAATAGGGTGGTGGACGAGTGGAACAAGCTTACCAACTTTGTAGTAAGTGCGGGAACTCTGGAAAGTTTCAAAAGGAGGCTAGATAGATTCATGGATGATAGAGAGTGGTAGTAACTCTCGACAGGAGCTGCCATGCACAGGCCAACCGGCCTATTGCAGACTCCTTATTTTCTTATGTTTTTATGTTCTTATGTTATTAGTTAACAAGTGTGTATATCCTCAGTCAGCAAGATAGTTAGAGAATCCTCTTTCTCTTGAACGGTCCTAAACATAGATTCCTCGCTGGAATGAATAGCCGTAAACCTAGCTCCTGAGGGTCCTGGGGTTTGTGCTCTTTCTTCTTCTGGAAGGAAATGTATAATAGTTTGATTGACGTCTCTGTTAAGGGTATAATATAAATATATAATAGTTTTTAGAACAAAAAATGGTCTGAAAAATAGTGATGACCATCTAAAAATGTTTGTATAAAATATTTTTAAATGTAAATATAAACTAAGTTATCATGGTTACAATATTATAAATTGATTTAATTATAATATACGGCAATTAGTTCCAGGCGTTAAATTTCTTATATTTGCACTTCTCAATTTTTTCCATTAACATACGAGTTATAACAACATTTAATATCTAACTTAGGGAAGCAATATGCAAGCTATAAATTTAACTAACTTACTAATGTTGGTTTTTTTTAAGAATATACAAAAAATAAGTATACTGTATTTCAAAAGTAAGATAATAGTGAAAAAATAGTACCAAAATTATTTTAGGATTTAAAAACAAGGATAGAAAAGAACAAAATTTATCAGAGGGTTGGAAAAGTATGTTCAGTGAATTACCATCAATAAGTTCTTCACTTTCCAAAATCGCTGGAATCCCATGTAGAGAGGCTGGATCTAAGAGTTGAAGAACTGCTTCGTCAATTGCAGTGTATGTACAGGGTATTTTCAATTTGGGGGCCGCCTCCTTCAAGAGAAAAAACAATAAAAACTTTCTTACTGTGAGCTGTGGTTACATACACTGTACACAACTATGTTATATATACACTACTATGTTAGAAAGGAATTTATTAAAATAGCTCCAAACATTATAACCTAACCTATCATTGTAACTGTAGCCACAAAAATTCTCCTTTATCTATGTCAAAAGTTATTTAGATTTAAGGTAACAAACAATAAATGGTAAAATAAGTAAAAAACAATAGTTGCAGCCAGAAATTTTCCACCTGTATTAGTTGTAAACTCATAGGATAGAACATCCTTGACTATAAGCCGAACAAAGTAAAATTTACATATTAATGTATACCAAATATGAATATAAATCTATTGATGAATGAAAATTAACGACATAAAAAAAAGGAATTCTATGGTAACTTACACATTATGACCTTCATTACCGTCGGAAATATAGTAATTATTAATATGTAGTTTATAACAGTAACCAAACCTACCTAACCTAACTTCCTTGCCAACGGGAGGCCTCCGCCACCCTGGACCACAAACTCATATTAACTATCTCTGTTCCACGTCAGTTGCGACACAATGACAAATGTGTCTTAAAATTGTGTAAACTATATGATAGGTATAATAAGAAAATCCAAAAGTTGTGGGGAAATAATTAACAGTAGTACAGACTTCCCTGACTACCGGGTGGGAAGATATTGGAAGCATAATGTGTTGTCTAATGGTAGACCCTGCTGCCATATGGCATCACGATAATTAGGAGCAAGTCCAAGGTTGCTGATCTGACTAAATGTGTCATTTACACACAATTGCAAGGTCCCAATTGTTTCTCGTAATATCGACAACACAACATACATACTGTATATTGATTCTCACTTTTTATGTGTTTTCATTTCGGTATTTATGGTGATTTATTATTAATATTATTATTAATAAAGTTGTTATTATTAATAGTACTAAAGAATTATTATTACAGGCCTGGACGTGGGTCAGTAACTGTGCCTGGGTTGGTTAATCCACGTAAAAAAAAAATTAGGTTGAACGGTAAAGTTTTTACCATTTACTCACACGGCAAACTTCGAAGAACGATGTTTCTTTTAATGAATGTTCTCATATAAGGAAAATATGTGTATTCATTAACGACGAAGAGCCACCACACTACTTCCTTGAGTTTACAAACACGTAAAATCGTACCAAGCCTCAGAAAAACCATAGTTAAGCTTGTTTCATATTGTCAATCAATAACCACACTAACAATATTATGACTTACCTGTTCCACCAACATAATTCTTATCTTGTGCTGCTTTTTTCTTAACGCTAACACGAAAGAGTTCCTTTTGATGTAAGTCAATAATGTTTTGAAGTTGAGTCTAAACTATAAGCACTGTAATATACTACGGTAAGTTTTCTTTCGTCTTTCACAAAGTAAAATATTGAAGACTAGACACACCTTACAGTGTAACTAAAATTTGTTGACTGTAAAAATCTGTAAGGCGGAGCTAAATATGAGGAAAAAGATAGAATTGTCTGGACCAATCAGAGGCCGCCTGTGGTAAGGGCGTCCCCCATGGGTGGAGTCTCATAAAAATATTTTTCTTTCTTTTATTTCTCGTCAACATTTTGGTAAGAACATAAGAAGAACACGAGTCAAAAAGCTACAAAATTGATTTCTCTCACTAACCATTTATCACAGTGTACAAAAATTAAAGTTGCATTTCTCGCACCAACTTTTATTGTCTCTGGATTTCTGTCACCAACTTTTATCATATACAAAACTCAGATGGATTTCTCTCACCAACCATTTATGTTTTCAAGAAATTCAACTGAGTTTTGTACAATGATAAAAGTTGGTGAGAGAAACCCATCTGAGCATCACTCGGCTTTTTGATACATAATAGTTGGCGTGTTGCTCCTTTGAGGAGATGATTTTTTTTAATTTCTGGGATTTACCAGTTTGAAAAACTTCTTCATGACACAAAAATATCCCCAAATTTTTGGGCAAAAAAATTGGGTGTCGACCTCTACACGGGTAATAGTTTCGTTAGGTTAAAAAAATATTTACTAGTTACTGCCAGTAAACAATGGAAACAACGTCCCACCAGCTGCCAGGGCAGATCTCTTGCGTCATCATAGCGAGCCCAAAGTGGCCAAATGGTAGAACAGGACGATGAAATACATAAAGTATTCATTTTTTAAAAGTTTATATATAGATACATAAATTTTTTTCATTAAATTTGAAACATCAATCTTTGTTAATTAAATTTGAAACAAAAGAAAACTACAATACCGTGTTTCTGAATATTTTCATTAAAATATTACATCCAACTATATTTTACCTTAACTGTACCTGAATGAATATATTCTCAGAAATAAATATGGAAATGTAATATTTTTTCCGAAATGACGTACGTATTAGTGGAATTTTTTTTAATTTTATTTCAGTGGAAAGTGGAATACAAGCGTGACGAAAACAATGACTTTCGCTTCCTTTCGTAGTTCAAAAGATGTTACCGTAATCGCTTTTTGAATGGTTTTCAGCTAAAAAACTGTTGCATTACAATAATATTCTGTCCTAATTCACTTGAATAAATACTACGATCCCATATTTCAGAATATTTTAATTTAAAATCATCAAAATCATTTTTCCTTGTCATCGTCCTCAGCACACAGTTGTCAGTTTCAAGATTTTCCGTTTAAATTTTTAAGTTACCGAATATTTCTTTTCCCAAACCGTTTTACAGTATTGTAGGTTAAACAGTTTACTGTTTGTGCAAACCCCATAGAAAAAAATGACAAATGGAGACACCAAATATATATATATATATATATATATATATATATATATATATATATATATATATATATATATATATATATATATATATAAATGCTGTGTGTGACTTGCAACACTGTCGGTAGGATCAGGTGGTGCTAACCAAGGTCAGGCAGCCTCACACAGGGTCATAGGAATTCACTAATTGGTAACTTTACTCTCACATTCTCTAAGCCACGTCACCTTTGTCACTTCATGCGTTTGTAATATTGTGGTATTATTATCTGTATAGATTCTTTCTCTAATCAAAATATACTAGCATGAAATGTTATTAATCAGATATATATTTAATAATATGTAATATACAGTGTATATTGCCATGTAAATTATACAATAAGAAAATGTTTGACGATATTTACACCAAAACTATAACTCTGGTCGAATTGTAAAATATTCAATACATTTCCTCCCATTTTAATTTTATTCTGTCATTCTGGCTATTCTCAGCAGTCTGGTAACTGTTGCTTGACTTCATCAACTGGTTCTGACTGAAGCATCAACTGTTAATGTTGAAAATAAGTAAACACGTTTTATTTTACTCTAATTGATATACAAAAAGAAGTGTGATGGTTTAAGAGTTACGGTACACACAACCATATCATATCCTTAAAAATGTAAATAATACTCGATGTATGAAGAATGCATTTATATATTTCACTCACACGGCAAACTTCGAAGAACGATGTTTCTTTTAATGAATGTTCTCATATAAGGAAAATATGTGTATTCATTAACGACGAAGAGCCACCACACTACTTCCTTGAGTTTACAAACACGTAAAATCGTACCAAGCCTCAGAAAAGCCATAGTTAAGTTTGTTTCATATTGTCAATCAATAACCACACTAACAATATTATGACTTACCTGTTCCACCAACATAATTCTTATCTTGTGCTGCTTTTTTCTTAACGCTAACACGAAAGAGTTCCTTTTGATGTAAGTCAATAATGTTTTGAATTTGAGTCTAAACTATAAACACTGTAATTTACTTCGGTAAGTTTTCTTTCGTCTTTCACAAAGTAAAATATTAAAGACTAGACACACCTCACAGTGTAACTAAAATTTGTTGACTGTAAAAATCGGCAAGGCGGAGCTAAATATGAGGAAAAAGATAGAATTGTCTGGACCAATCAGAGGCCGCCTGTGGTAAGGGCTTCCCCCATGGGTGGAGTCTCATAAAAATATTTTTCTTTCTCGTCAACATTTTGGTACACTTGGTAAAACTCAACTGGGTGGATTCTTTTACCAATAATTTTATTTTTCTTATTTCTCGCCAGCGTTTTAGTATACTTGGTAAAACCCAACTATCACATATGATATTATTTTAAACAAAGAGAAGTACATAAATTGATTTCTCTCACTAACCATGGAAATATACAATATTTTTGTTGAAACTACCCACGTTTCAGTGTAAAGTGTCGTAATAATATATGGTAAACAATTTGCCTTCGGCACTCGGCGTTTCAGGCACGGCCAGCCTCAGTTTATAGGACAAAGTGTTTTTACTGATAAATGGTTGGTGAGAGAAATCTCAACTTACATTACAAAAACTCAGACTTTTATCATGTGTCAAAAAGCTACAAAATAGATTTCTCTCACCAACCATTTATCACAGTGTACAAAAATTAAAGTTGGATTTCTCTCACCAAGCATTTATGTTGTCAAGAAATTCAACTGAGTTTTGTACAATGATAAAAGTTGGTGAGAGAAACCCAATTGAGTATCACTCAGGTTTTTGACACATAAAAGTTGGTGTGTTGCTCCTTTGGGGAGGTGATTTTTTCATTCTAGGATTTTCCAGTTTGAAAAACTTCTGAACTGACAAATAAAATATCCTCATAGATTCCTGTAAAGCTGATTTACTTCCAAAATGATAAATGGTTGGTGAGAGAAATCTCAACTTACATTACAAAAACTCAGTTAGACTTTTATCATGTGTCAAAAAGCTGCAAAATTGATTTCTCTCACCAACCATTTATCACAGTGTACAAAAATAAAAGTTGGATTTCTCTCACCAACTTTTATCATATACAAAACTCAGTTGGATTTCTCTCACCAACCATTTATGTTGTCAAGAAATTCAACTGAGATTTGTACAATACTAAAAGTTGGTGAGAGAAATCCATCTGAGCATCACTCAGCTTTTTGACACATAAAAGTTGGTGTGTTGCTCCTTTGGGGAGGTGATTTTTTAATTTCTGGGATTTACCAGTTTGAAAAACTTCTTCATGACAACAAAAATATCCCCAAGGTCAGGCAGCCTCACACAGGGGTCCTAGGAATTCACTAATTGGTAACTCGACTCTCGAGATTGCTAAGCCACGTCACCTTCATGCGTTTGTAATATTGTGGAATTATTATCTGTATAGATCCTTTTTCTAATCAAAATATAATATCATAAAATGTTATTAATCAGATATATATTTAATAATTTCATGTAAATCCACAATGAAAACGTGGATAAGATAAATCTTGATAAAATAAAACGGGAAAATGGAAACAACGGAGCACCTTAGCTTTCGTCTTTATTCAAGACATCTTCAGAGGCAACTGGACTACATGGACAGAGAGAGGCTAAAATATACAGGGTGACCTTAAAAACATGAGGTCAGGTCATAATGATGTCATCCACTAATCCCCACACCAACACACACGTAGAGGAGCTAAAGAGAAGGGGGTGACGTGACTAGTCAGGTCAAAAATAAGGGACCCACAAAGTAACTATCATACATCTAGATCAAAGGTTTTCAAAGCATTTTTAACCTTGGGCCACTGACAAATAAATTTATGTAACATATTATCAGTTTTGAACTGACCATCACTAAGGTTTATTGATTTTAATTCCTTAATCAAACTAGCTTCAACCAGAAGTCTTTCTGTGACACAAGATGATTTAAATACTTCTAAGCTTTTTTCCCAAGCAATGGGGTGATTATTATTCCTAACATGAACGAACAAGGCACTGCTTTCAGATGCTGTTCTGACATTATACTTATGTTGTTTGATTCTGAGCTGCAGTGTTTTTCCTGTTTGTCCTACATAATTACAATTACATTTGCTACATGGAATACAATAAACACTTCCATTTACATTCAAACTTGGGCTATTCCTTATTAACATTTTGGTAATGGTAGAGTCATACTTGAAAACAACATTAATATTTAGAAGCTTGAGGGACCGAACTAACGGGACAAATTTATTACAATAGGGCAGAGTCAAAATATTCTTAAGTGTAGGAACTTGTCTGGTTTGAGAGGAATGAAAGGATTTTTTAGCCCTTTTAAAACAACGATCAATAAACACAGACGGGTACCCGAGTTTCTGTGCAATGGAACGAATATGTTTCAATTCATCGTCAATAAATTCAGAGTCACAAATACGCAGACATCTTAAGAACATAGCAGAAAAAACTGACATTTTGGTAGACTCCAGGTGATTCGATAAAAAGTGAATGAAACTGTCTACCTGTGTGGGCTTTCTATATACCTTAAATTTATAGTTTTGGCCATTTCTCATGATAAGCATATCAAGGAATGGAAGGGATCCATTTATTTCTCTTTCAATTTTGAATGTGATACTTGGGACAATATCATTAAGCTTGTCTAAAAATTCCAATGGGTCACTGTTTCTAGGCCAAAGACAAAGAACATTATCTACATATCTATACCATGGAGGAATAAAGTCCACGATATTGGGTAGTAATCTAGACTCAAAAAACTCCATATAAATACAGGCTAGAGGAGCAGAAAGACAATTACCCATGCTCATGCCAAATATTTGCTTGTACAACTTCCCATTTGCTCTAAACACATTGTCAGTTACGCATAACTCTATCAATTTCA